ATTTTTTTTTTTTTTTTTTTTTTTTTTTTTTTCTAAAAGTGTTTGCGTGAGGTTCGGTAGAAAGAATGGCGTGATTTAGGGGGTAACCTTCTTATACGGGTAAGCGCTAAAGTCGTATGGTACCCCTATGCATATTAATTCAAACATTACATTCAAAACTAATCATTTAAGATAATAGTATTTATCAATCTTATTTTTTAAAAATTGAGAAAAAAATTATTTTAAAATTATATTATTTTAATAAATATTTATTAAAAAATATTAAAATACTTTATTTTTAAAGTATATATTAAAGTATTTTTTATCTTTTTTCCTCTTAATTTTTTAGAGGTAAAGCGAATAAATACTAATCCCATAATTTAAATAATTTAACGATCATTTTTTTTTGTTAAAAGTAAAAAATTTTAAATTAAGTCGTATAATATGTAAATTAATGAGATAAAAAATAAAAAATAATTAGTTTTCATTATGCAACCAAAATAAAAAAATCATAAAAAAAAATGCAGAATGACTATAGATATTTTTGTAAGTTGATACACTTGAGAGTACATTATTTTATAATTTAAATTATTTTAAAAGATAAAATATTAATCTTTTAATAAGAAAAAACAGTGAAGAAAATTTTTATTAAAAATTTTATATTTTACAATTAAAAATAATTTAAATTATAAAACCCTTTTTGTTATAATCTTTATTAATTCAAACATTACATATATAAAAGAAGAAAGGTATGCAATCTTCCGTGTGAACTAATGGTAATCACGTTGTTCATTTAGAAACAGATAAAACATATCAAATTCTAAAGTTCAATCTTCTTACAAAACAACAGATACTAACATTAACTTAACAATTTTCTCATGTCAAAAAAAAAAACTATTTCTGAAAAGATTGATAAGTACAACAGCACCGTCCACTTATTTTTTTTATTTTTTTATTTTAAGTTTGGAACATTTTAAAAAAAATTTACCCATTCAGTAGTGGAACTGTTTTAAATACAGGCCAAACGACCATGAATAAGAAGAAAAAAAGAAAGAAAAGAAAAAGAAGGGTCACAATCAAAATTATAGTTTTGGGCCTTTTGGCGGTCGAATTGTGGGGTTTTTGTTTTGCATCAACATAGGTGTCCTAACAATAAGAAAAATGGGGATGAAGAACTTAAAAGCAGTATGAAAAGGAATCTTTGAGGGACCATCAAGAGCTGGGTGGCAGCTTTCAATATCAAAGCAGCTGATTCTTATCTTCACATTGACATTGATTTTTTTCAGAGTCCACACTCTTGGTCTTGGGACTCATGATCAGGCTCCAGAAGGTAGGTAGGAATGACCCTCAACTTCCTTGACCCGTCCTGGGAAGCTTCTAAATGCATTTGCTAAATCATTTTTTGCTTCTAAACCAGTCCTGCCCCACATTGGCCCAAGACCAAAATGACTGAATAGGTTACAACTACATTGTTGTTGACAGAGTGATAAGGATGCCTAGTCCACACAGGCTCTCATCCATTTTCCTCTTACTGTGCAAAACTTTTTGGAATTCCTAAGGTGTTATGCTGCCAGGTTATATTCCTGATGCCACGGTTTATGATAATACATGATTATTTAATGATTAATCCATACAAAAATGAAAATCCATATCAAAACAGGAGACTTTCTTTTTTGTTTTGCTGCAGAGATGCCACTCTTTACTCTAAAATCCTAACCAACATAAACATTTTCCAGCAATTATATGGTTAGACCTTGAGGGGGAGCAGCTGCAGGAGCCTTAGGCTTGGGCTTTTCTACAACAATGGCCTGAGTGGTCAGGACCATCCCAGCAACTGAGGCTGCGTTCTGTAGTGCACATCTTGTCACCTTGGCCGGGTCAATGACTCCAGCTTCCAACAAGTTCTCAAACTTGTCTGACAGGGCATTGTAACCAATCTCCCAGTCACTAACTTTTAGCTTCTCCACAACTACCTCGCCTTCAATTCCAGCATTTTGTGCTATCAATGAAGTCGGTGCCACTAAGGCCTGGATGCAAACAAAGATGTTGTATATATGAAGGAAATATGAATTTACCAGAGATTGATGAATATGATAACAAATGATAAGTAACTCTTACCTTCTGCACAATGTCAGCACCCAATCGCTCTTCAGCATCTTCAAGCTTGTCCTTAATTGCAGGAACACAAGTTGAGAGATGAACCAATGCAGCACCACCACCAGGCACGATCCCTTCCTCTATGGCAGCAAAAGTAGCATTCTTAGCGTCTTCAATGCGAAGCTTGCGATCCTCGAGCTCAGTTTCAGTAGCAGCTCCAACTTTAATAACAGCAACACCACCAGACAATTTTGCAATTCTCTCAGCCAGTTTCTGTGTGTCATAAACAGAGTCTGTCTCAGCTAACTCCTTCTTGAGTTGGGCAATCCTAGCTTGCAGCTCATCCTTTGAGGCTGCATCAGCAATTAGGGTGGTAGAGTCTTTGGTAATGGTAACCTTCCTGGCTATACCAAGCTGCTCGATTGCTGCATTCTCTACGTGCAAACCCAAATCACTAGCTTGGAATTCAGCCCCTATAATTTCGAGAGAGAAAATAGAATATTAGCACAACCAATTAGTATTGCCAAGTCCAACAAAGTTATAGCACTAATTCCTCTCCACTAAAGTTCACATACCAGTCACGATGGCAATATCCTGAAGAACAGCCTTTCTCCACGCTGCAAAACTAGGAGCTTTAATGGCAGCAACATTGAGGATACCTCGCAGTTTGTTCACCACAAGAGTAGCCAAAGCCTCCCCAGTAACATCCTCAGCAATTATAAGCAAAGGAGCTCTCAGTTGAGTTGTCTTCTCTAACAAGGGAATTATGTCCTTAATGGCTGAAATTTTCTGATCTGTGACTAGCACCCTTGCATTCTCAAATTCACAAATCAATTTCTCTTGGTTTGTAACAAACTGAGGGGAAATATAGCCTCTGTCAATCTGCAAGGTCAGTAGATAACACATAAGACACATTTATACTGTGGAGTAGATTAAAAATATGCCCCCTCTTCAAAGTTCCACCACAATGCCCAGGCAACTCCCAAAGAAAGTGAAAAAAGCTTCACATCCTAGAGAAACGCCTACCTCCATTCCTTCCTCAACATCAACTGTTGTCTCAAAAGAAGATGATGACTCAATGGATAAAACTCCATCAGGCCCGACCTTGTCAATTGCATCAGCAACCATTGTTCCAATAAGCTCATCATTTCCAGCAGAAATAGAAGCAACAGCTGCAACGAGGAACACAAATGAATAAAAAAGGAGGAGCAATTGACTGGTAGGAAGGAAATTTTTAGTGTGCAAAGAGATTCAATCTGCATCAGTCATACCTTTAATGTCATCACGGCCTTTGACAGGTCTGGCCCTCTTCTCCAGCTCTTCTACTAACCCTTGTACAGTTTTATCAATTCCCCTCTTCACTGACACTGGGTTTGCACCAGAAGTGACACTTAATAGTCCAAGTTTGATTATTTCCCTTGCAATAACAGATGCAGTAGTTGTCCCATCACCAGCAGAGTCATTAGTTTTACTTGCAACCTTCATCCAAAACCAAAACATGGAATTATATCAAAACCAGAAACCAAAGGATTTCAGAGCCATTGGCAACAACATGGAATGGAAAAGAACTGTTTAATAAAAAACGGAGGACAAATATGCTAGAAAGATTATGGACCAACCTCTCTAATGAGAGCTGCACCAGCATTTTCCATGGCATCAGGTAGCTCAATTGCTCGAGCAATTGTTACACCATCGTTAACAACTTTAGGACTTCCAAATTCGTCCAAAACAACATTCCTCCCTTTGGAAACAAAACAAACAAACCAGTCAAAACTCAAAAGAAGGTTGAGGATGCAGTGACGAATTAGTTATGGCAACAATAAATTTAATAAGGCATGTTATGATAAACAAATTATCGAAGCTCATGCATAAAATTCAGTTGGTTCACCATATAAAATGAAATCAAATTTACTTCAGCAAAAAGCATCAGCCACACAATCCATGTACGCAACACACTATCATACATCACAATTTTTGAATCATGGTGAATGGAACAAAACTTACCCCGAGGACCAAGAGTAAGGGCAACCGCATCAGCAAGTTTGTCAATGCCAGCTTGCATTGCGGCCCTTGAGCTCTGGTCAAAGGCAATTTCCTTTGCATTTGCCCTCACAGCAAATCGTCTGTTTGATTGCCTGTAGTTTAGTCTTTGGCTTTGCTGCTGATTACGCCTTCCCCTCACGCTACCCTGCAGCCGACAACACCCATCAAATGAATAACACACCATAAACGTAGGAGACAAATTAAGCTAAAAACTCAAAAGGGAAAAAATTGTTAGCCAAATGAAACATACAAAGAACGCACTTAAAACGTTAAAATCAATTCATTTCCCCACCTCCTCCCTTCAGTTTTGGCCATAAATATGAAAAGCAGACAACTTTCATTAAACCCAAGACTAAAAGTTCCAACTTTCATGGATTCCAGATAACCAAACATTCAATCACAATTTACAAAGAAAAAAAAAAAAGAAGAGGCAATAACATATCTTTTTTCCGTGTTTTCAGAGCTTTCTCAGCAAAATGAAGAAAAATGAAAAGAACCCATTACCTGTTTGGGACAGCAGAAAATGGAAGTTGAAGAGAGAGCATTAGCAGACGCCATTTTCTGGATATCCAGAAGACCAAACAATCACAGGGGTTTTTGGGTTTTCTGAGTAGATAAGGAAGCAGGAAGTGGAGCAGTTAACATTAGGGTTTATCTTTATTATTATTGAGTGGAAATTCTTCCAGAACGTTCTCCCAATCCTTAGAAGTTAGAACCCTCTTTATGCCTTGTTTGGTTCCGCGCTTAACTGAACGCCACCCATTTTCACCAAAGACAGACAAATTCGGTAAATTACATGTCTATATCTATAAGGTTAAATTTCAAATTTTGGTCCCTCAACTTTAAAATTTATATAATTTTCATCCTTTAATTTTTTTTATGTATGTTTTATCTTCAACTATAAAAAATATGTGGCAAATAATTTATTAGATCCATGCATAAATGTATATTTTTAATATCTTAATTTTGAAATTTGCACAATTTTTGTTCTTCAAAGTTCAAAGACAAATATTATATATAAATAGATATAATGAATGAACTAATAAAAAAAATTAAAAAATGTACTTTTCATATTTAAATGACAAAACAAACGCATAAAAAAGTTGATAAACAAAAATTAGCAAAACTCTAAAGTTGATGGGCAAAATTCAACATTATTTAACTTATCTAAAGGTAAAGATCATAAAATATCTAGCCCACAAGCTGAAGCCCAGGCCCAAGACCAAGCCCAAGCCCAATTATTCCCCATACATCGTTGTTTTTTCCCGTGGGATGGTGAGTAGCGAACTGAAGTCTGCAAAAGCAGAAGAAAACCCTAATTCTTCATGCTTCACCGCCGAATCAGGTATGGAGAGAAAAACCCAAATGCTCCGTGGTTTATCTTATTTTTCAAGTTGAATACTTGCATCGGATTCATGAGATTCCAATCTGATTTTTCTGGAGGTTCAATTCGTTTCATATAGTTGCTTTATTTCCGATCTGGGTTTGTTTTGGAGAGAAAATTCCACTTTTAATTATCATGTAATGATTTTTGGATTCGAGTTAAGAGATGGGGTTTTATAAAGTTTTTGTCTTAGTTGTTTGGAGATTGGAATTTTGGTGCATACTGGATTTGGGATAAGGGAAAGATGTTGTCTGCCCAAATTGTAGTTCCAAATCCAGTCCTAGTTGACACTATTCTTAATTGGATTCTGTGTAATTGATAACAATATTGATTGTTGAGGTTGATGCAGAAAAGGGTGCTAAGGTTGAATCTAATGGGATGGAGCTTACAACCAATTCTGATGTTCTTCAACTCGAGTGCTGGTCTTCTGATTTATCTCTTTATTTTTTTCTTGTTTCCAGGTTTGTCTGAAAGGACCTTGTTTACATATGGGTAAGAAGACTTCAGGAAAGAAAGATCATAAGGATAAGGGGGAGAGTAACAAAGATGGAGAAGCAAATTCTTTCAAGGAGGGAATGAATGCTGTGAAAGCATCAGCTGGGAATGGGGATGGTGATTCCAATGTTAGCAGTATAGATTCTGAGAAGATTAAGAACAGAGAAGAGCTTCGTGATGATTGTATTGAGTTAAGTGCTGCGGACAAGGAGGCTGTGGTGGAGGGTGATGTAAACAGGTTTAATCGTGAAAAGAAGGATCGAAAAAAGAAGAGGAAATTGGAGCTTCATAAGGATGAGAAAGAATCTCAAAAGGCTGGAAAGAAGCATAAGAAGATTAAAGTTGGTGAAAAAGAAGAAGCTTCAAAGGGAACTGCTGCAGATAGAGTGGACAACATCACCGTTGAAAACAATAAGAAGAAGCTTTCAGAGAACAATTTTGAGTTTGAAGGAAAACAGGATAGGAAAAAGAGACATAAGAAGAACAAAAATGAAGAAGATACTGATGTGATGGAGACACTTGAAAGCAATGAGGATTCAGCTGGCAACAAGACAGGGAGCATAGATGTCATTGATTTTGATAAGAGGGAAGAAAACAAGGACAAGAAGAAGAAGAAGAAGAAGAAGAAGAAGAAAGAAACTAAATCTGGGAGAGGTGATAAAGAAGTGGCCGAGACAAAAAAGACTATCAAATCCACAGATCAATCAGAAAATCCTATGCCAAAAGAGAGATCTAGAAAAGTCAGTTTTGCCGATCACGTGGAGGTCTTTCCTTCAGCTGGTGATGAGACTGAGACAAACAAGAATGGGGAACCTCCATCTGGTGATAAGACTGAGACAAACAAGAATGGGGAAAACATGTTGGTGCAGGGTAAGCGGTTCTCAAAAGAAGAAGATGAGATACTTAAGGAGGCTGTTTCCAACTATATAGAGCTGCGTGGCTTAGGTGAGCCTGGTCTAAACATGATTCTGAATTGTCAATCTCACCCTGAAGTCAGAAACTGTTGGAAGGAAATAGGAGCAGCCTTACCGTGGAGACCAATCTCTAGCGTGTACCATCGAGTTCATATCCTTTTTGAAAGGGATGAGAATCGTAAATGGAGTGCTGAAGAGTATGAAATGGTCCTGAAGTTTGTTGAAAAAAATGGAACAAAATGGAAAACTTTGGCTGGAGCACTTGGAAAGCATAGGACACATGTAAAAGATACATGGCGTAGAATCAAATTGCCCAATAGGAAGAAAGGACGATGGTCTCAAGAAGAGTACCAGACTTTATTTGATTTAGTAAACATGGATCTGTCTATGAAGGCCACTATGGAAAAGAAATCAAAACATGGAATGTTGCGAGATAATGTCTGTTGGGGAGCAATTAGTGACATGTTGGCAACAAGAGGCTTCTCTACCTGCTGTGTGAAATGGTATGACCAGCTTGCATCTCCTATGGTAGCAGAAGGTAAATGGGCGGATGCTGATGACTACCGTCTGCTGGATGCTCTCTCTAGCTTGGATGCTTGCTGCATGGAAGATGTTGAATGGGACAGTCTTCTGGAGCACAGGTCTGGAGAAATATGTCGAAAACGATGGAGCCAAATGGTTCAACACATCGGTCATCATGGATCCCAATCCTTCGCTGAACAAGTTGAAATTCTTGCTGCCCGATATCGTCCAGACATGGTCGAAGCTAGAGAGGCCTTCGATAACAAACCATATGTCGATCAGCCTTAATCAATGCGGATTCCATCGCCAATACAAGGATATTTCTGATAATAATAATACTATCTTCTTTTCTTGAAATCTTTTATTTCTGGTTTATGTTCCATTTGAGTCCAAGAGCAATGCCTGTAAGGTGTCGCCTCCGTTGTGTTGCTGTCTGGTTATCTGTTGAGTTCGGAGTCTCTTTTACTTTTATATGTTAATACCCTTTATTGTCCTAAGAATTCTCACCCCAATACCTCTAAATTAACATAGAGTTTCCCTAAATATCATCATTGGCGGATTATGGATGAGGATGATGCCCCGCCGGCGGGCAAACGACCTTCCAAGGACCACCATACGAAACACAATGGTCTTGCCTACCGTGTCCGCCTCCCACCAACGTATCTCACCATCAAAGCTACCCCGCCCTTTTTCCTTTCCACCTACACGCCTCCGCACCCACAAAATCCTCTGCTTCTGCATCCCGAGAAGAATCATGCGCCACCACCTGCAATGCTTCCTTGACAGCTGCTCCTATTGCCCCGGTTGATTAAATGCCATTCTGTCCGCCGGTAACTTACTACACTGCTTCTTCTGGTTCACACAGGGTGCGAAATGCTCTGCACACTCAGGAACCTGGTGGAAACAGAGAAAAGGAAAATGCAGGCCAGGAGGTGTGGGAGGAATCCGAGGAGGAGGGATGCACTGAATTTGTTAGGGAGACTTTTATTGAGAATGTGAGTGTAGGAAGAATGGTATAATCGTCACCTGATTTGCTATGGCCTATGGGAGTAACTCGTGTTTCTTGCTCCATATCTATGAATTGCTTCTGATCAATTACCACGTTAACTTCCTCATTTTTTCCCTTTTTTTCTTTTTTGAATGATAAAGATATTTTTGAGAAGAAAAGAAATGTCGAAATCCTATCTTGGAGAGGAGGGTTCATTTTTTCTGTTCAGATTGTGTGTGATCTTGTGCTGACCCCATGAAATGCATGATGTTCTTAATTCATTTCTGCGTTGACAACGTTAAATCATGCCTTATATTTTGAAGCAAAATGAAAACATGAATAATGTAGGGGCACCTAAGAAATGTACATAAGATTAAAATTACACAAAATATATAAAAATATTTATATCATATAGTTAATCAACAGAGCTAGTGACAAAAGGGGATAACTGGAATCATGAAGCGACTGCTTCTCCAACAAGAGATTTTAGTTAACATGTTGATGAATATAGATTTATTTTGAAAAATAAATAGAGGGAGATTAGTATCGATGGAACAAGATGTACGAATCAGGCAGGGTATCAAAGCAGCATATGATCTTTCTGCCTTTGATTTTATATTTACCTTAAAAATCCAAACTAACAAGAATATGGTGGAAAGCAACTACGCCAATACTGCTTCTTGAAAAAGCAATAGATAACATACCCACAAATTAGAATCCATTATTATTACTGCATTCTTGGTATTCATCTGCTAACTCCGACGAATGCTTGTTGTTGAACTTCTGCCGCCTTTTCTTCTTCTTGGTCCCAAATGTTGGCACATCTGGATTGCAAATGACATAACCACAGATCACACATAAAGGTTAACTTTGCAAAAAATAAAAAGATCAACAAAATGACCGAGCTATGCCTATGTGTCAGGATGTAACAAAGGAATACAGATTCTTATCTGCCTCCAACTACCCCCAACTTCCCTATCACGACCAAGTCGACAGAGTAATATAGCTGCCAATATCAAAAAACTTATTAAACCCCTGGTCATGTGTCCATTATCACCTTTATCCTATCCCATGCAGTAATTAGAAGAGAAAGGATGTTAACTCTCTGTTAGAACCTGCATCAAAACTCTACAACAGAACCCTACTACTTGAGAGAAGGCCAGCCTATACCTAAAGTAGTCTTTTCCATTTGAACACATATGCAGTAGCAAGCTGCATCCTGCACAATTACAGGCACTTCTAGTTTTTGTCTGCCTAATTGCTTATTTGCTTTAGCACAAGAAATAACTTTCGAAAGTAGAGGAGCAGATATTTACCCCCAAGAGGATAGATTGAGTTGTAGTGCACTTCAGCCCAGAAGCTTAAAAAAATTACTGCAGAACACAATAAATGAATTAATTCTCTATAAACTTTCCATTGTTCACACGAATCTTAAGATTGAGCAGGAAATGCCTATAAAGATTAAAGTATCTTGAGAAGAAAAATAGAAAAAAAGTAGTGCATAGTTTTAAGTAATAGGCTTGTCAGTCTCTGGAAATGGCAAGGGAATAAATGGGAAATCTACAAACAAAGATGATATGCTTTCAAGGTTCTACAACGTAAGATAGATCAATTGCAACTAAAAACTATGATAAAATTACAAGAATACAATTTAAATCCTAGATTCTTGAAAAGAAACTAATGGAAATGGTAATGATAGAAATTGTACCTCGTTTTGACCTTTGGACATTTGGAAGAATCTCAATGTAGCATGTGTCTTTGAAAGATGTTATGACAAATATTTTAACACCATACTGCAACAAGTTGATGGAATATGAATTAGATCACGATTGCTGACGCGTGTGCTACTGCTACAGACATATATAGAGCTGCATATTCTGATATTCACACATATAGTAGTAGTCACATCTGCATGGGTTATATGTGAGTTGCTGATCATTCAACTCTGTATTTTCACCCCTTATCTTTCTTCTTGTTCTCTTTTTTTTTTTTCTAAATTAATCAAAACAGCATAAATATGATATATTGCTGGCCAGATTAACTAAATTTGTTACGCTAAATTTTGAGAAGTCAAAATGTACAATCCACCATAAACAAGAGAATGTGAAATATGGATGGTTATAGCATATACCGAATCAGCAGCAGCCTGCAAGGTGACATGATCACCCCATTCACCACTCCTATTAGCATACATGACAAAAAAATTAGATAAAGAAAAATCTGTAACTGAGGCAAAAATAAGTCAATGATTAAGAAAATACCTAGACATTTTCTCCAGGTAGTCAGTGTAAGCCATGGGAACATATCCTTCATATATCTCTGGACAAGACTTAAGCTAAATGTGCAAAATATAGCAAGAAAAAAATCAACATCAAATATGCCAAATTGCCAAATCCAAAATGACTAAATTTCAAGACAATAACATAGGCTCAATAGACTTATAAGCTAAGTTTAATAACACAAGTGAAAGATAGACCTGATTTACAACTTGTTGCCTCACAAATTCATGGTGCTCAGGGGTTCGGTAGAATTGATC